GCTTGACCTTAAATTTGTGTTGTGTATTTAATATCCACTTTGAAGAAATTCATTTAGTGATTACATTACAGATATGAAGAAGTGAAAATTTTTGTTGCTATAAAATATTGTTTCTAAAAAAAAAGCATCATGCTGTTGCATGCTTAATATTATGCAGAAATCCATTAATTCATTACTGTTTCATTTATAAACTTCTTCCTAAAGTGAGAATACATAACTACATGTCAAAAGATAAGGTTAATTTACCAATAAATAATATTTAATACATATTGTAAGCAAGGCTTAGGAAATAGAACTTATGCTTATTGTATAATTAATAATATATATAAGCTATATTTAGATATAGTTTATGGATATTTAAACCTAAACTTGAAAATCCAGAAACATTTTACATGAGTTAACCTTAGTTTGTGGCATCTCTTTCTAAATAACTCAAATGAAGAATCAGTAGTTATATTTTCCCTTTCCTACATTTTGGGTCAAAGATTTTTTTTTTTCCCTTTGGCTTACTCTGGCCTGAGAGATATTATTGTAGTTCCTTCAAAATAACAGAAGTGAATGAAAGCCCATCATATGGGACAAACTGCTTTTATAAGTAGCATTGAGTAATACAAGTCACCCAGGCAAACTGCTAGTCATCTGTTAATAATTAGTAGCCTGTAGTGAGTTATCCTCATAATAAAGATCAGACCATAACAAGACTTTCTTTTAAAAATTTTCATATCACTTTTTTCCACCTATATTTTAAAAAATATTTGGAGGTCTTTGAGAATTTGTATAATCATAGGACAAATTTGCTATCAGTAGTATTTCGGAATTTAGATGTAAAATTATCTGTGATTATCTCTGAAGATAATGACAAGTAATTCAAGCAATGAAAAATTCAAGTATACATTTGCTTCACCACATAACTACATCACTGCTGGTGGATACATGAAAGAGGAACCCATACTATTCTGGCTGATGCCCAGCTTCCCAGGAATTAGTGGGATATAGTGCTGGACATGACGTTACCTTGAGTACATGACAGTCAGCCCCTAACCAGGCTCTGATTCATAAGACTAGGAGGTATTCGCTTTAAGTCCTTGGGTAAGATATGAACTTGTGGTAATTGGGCCATTTATGTCAAATGTCTCCACTATTCTTTTCTTTCCCAGTCTTGTTTATTGGTGTTGTTGTGTAAAAAATAAACACTTTATTGGTGTTGTTGTGTAAAAAATAAACACAAAAAAAGCCACAACAAAAGCAAAATAGGCAGCCAACGCTGCTTATCATCTTGGGAGTATTTAGTGTTTCAGTGTCCGAGTGTGTGTCTGACAGGGCCTAGGAGCAACTACATCAGAAAGGTACTTTTCTATTTTTTTCCTTACAGAGTTGTAGGCAGAATCTGGAGCTGGAGTTGGCTGTCATGTCCAAGTTTGTCTGCTTTTAAAATTTTGTTTGTTTGAATTTGCAATGGTAAAATGAACTGCAGCATAAGATGGGCTGTTTTGATATAGTGCAGTCATAATAGCATTTATTTTTCAAGCTTCAAGTGAATAATTTGTTTTATTTTTTATTCCATCTAAAGATGTGTTACCTTACTGCATCAGAGATTATACTCAAGATATGACTGTAAGTCCATCTTTGCTTCATTCCATTTTACTCAAACACAAATAAAATTAAGTACTTTGTAGCCTATGATTTCCTGATAGATTCAAAATGATTAAAAGTTAATAGTAATATACACATATCTACAAATTTAGTATACCTTATAAAATTATACATTTTCATATGTGTTTAAGCATTAAGAATATAAACAATGTGGTAAACTGTAATTAAAATTTAAATAGCAGACCAAATTTTAAAATTGTTAGGATTTTATTTTATAGTCTAAATGAATTAAAATTAATAATAGTCAAAAGTAAAATATAATTCTCAGATCCCATTATTTTATTGAGACCATGAGCAGGCAACTCCAGCCAAACATTCTGATGTATTTATAAAATATTATATATGTATTAAAATAAATGTGACAATTTAGCTATACATTCTTCTAATTTTTTAATTTATGCTAACCATAGTGATGGGAGATATTTGCTTATACAGGAGAACATAATTTATTATCTTATTTAAAAATAAACACTAAGCGAAAACTCCACATCATGTCAAGAAATGTGGGTAGTAGTAGTTATTTTATTATTATACATAACTTTTAAAAATAGCAAGATAGACAAAATGTTTGAGCTACATGCACATGAAAAATGAAACTTAACAAAAAGCCTAAGAAATGGATCCAAATATATATTTAAGCACTTCCTCTGAAACCTATATAACAATATATGAAAAAACAACACGTGGTTTATAAACCAGAAAGTTTAAAAAATCTCTTCTAATGTTATTTTTATTAAAACATGTTTACTCATTGGTATTTTAATTGGAACTTAGCATAATCTCAGAGACTTGAGTCTCCTGTCACTATATTTAAACAAGAGTGTACTAAAAGATTGTTTATTTTCTAAAGTTCGCCTCTGCTCTCCCAATGGTTCTTGCTTGCTTACTAAAGAAATAAGTAAATCTATGATTTAAGCTTTCATTACACAATGATTCCATTCTGCCACTGTGACCAAAAGTATCTGATTGCTGATCAAATTCTCTGTATTCGTTTCACCTTTCCCCCACTCTCTGTTAGGTTCTGAGCTCATGCCCAAAGCACTGTCCACCAGGATAGTGGGAGGCATTTGGTGGTTTTTCACACTTATCATCATTTCTTCGTATACCGCTAACTTAGCCGCCTTTCTGACAGTGGAACGAATGGAATCCCCTATTGACTCTGCTGATGATTTAGCTAAACAAACCAAGATAGAATATGGAGCAGTAGAGGATGGTGCAACCATGACCTTTTTCAAGGTAAGTTCTGCTGGTTTCCTAAATTTTACAAATTAAAATGATAGAGTACAAACTTCACTAGATTCACTAATGTAAGGGTGTAACCACACCGTTTTTTGTGCACAATACTTAATAATAGCATATCCCTCAAGGGGTGGAGAGGTGTACAACTGAATAAAGCTCATCAAGACCAATCATTTTAATCTTTGAAAATACTAAGGAGGTTTCACTTTACAGTATTTTATTCCTGTTTTGAGGAAAATCAACTCAAAGGTAACATTTTTTCCCTAGTAATTTATTTTAATAAAACAAAATGAAACTGTAATAGTAGGATATTAAGAATCTACAAAACTTTGCTATTTCAGAAAAATAGAATAATCACTTGGAAAAATGTTTCCCATACATACATTTACTTTTGTTAAAAGAGGCAAGATACAGGACTGAAAAAAACAGGGACAGTTCTTATTATCTAGCTAATATTCTGGGAAACAGTTGAAAGGGGCTGCCCCATTTAACTCACAGTGCTTTCCACAGAAACAGCCCTGTGGAACATTTAAATGAAAGTGTGCTTGTAAAAAGTTTCTGTCGTATAGCGTGCTTTGCCCTCCTCTATTTTTTCTCTTTTCTCCTTATTCTGGCTCATCTCACTGGGCCAAAGTAGACCAGATGAAGGATTTCACTTGAGGTAGTCATTATCACTTTATAGCTCCTTTTATATCTTCCCAAGTATTTTTACATTATTTGTAGTTTGGGCAAATTATTAAACATTGGTATTTTCTTTCTCTGTTCACAGAAATGCAATTGGCAGTTCAAATGTGCAGTGGAAATAGTAATTTTTTTTAAAAGATAATGGATTTAAGCTAAAAAACAAATTATTTCATGAAGCATTCATCAAGTTTCTATTGAGTGCCAGAAGCTACACTATATATTGAGTATTCTAGTTCTCACTTTTGAGAAGATATAGTTTAGTTGGAGACAGAATAATAAATTTAAAAAATCCCTGAACTGGTTTTATGTGACTTAAGGCAGTATTTGTCAAACTATGTAACTTTCTTTTTAAAAATATTTATAAAAATAAATCAACTTTATTTTTTCTTATTTATTGTACTTTAGATTCTGGGGTACAAGTACAGATTATGAAAGACTGGTGGTTTGTTACCACCATCCCCCCATCAACTATACCTGACATTTCTCCCCATGTTATCCCTCCGCCACCCTCTCTCCCACTATCCCTCCCATACCCCCCCAACAGACCCCAGAGTGTGATGCTCCCCTCTTTGTGTCCAAGTGTTATTGTTCAACACCTGCCTATGAGTGAGAACATGCAGTGTTTGATTTTCTGTTCTTGTGTCAGTTTGCTGAGAATGCTGGTTTCCAGGTTCATCCATTTCCCTACAAAGGACACAAACTCATCATATTTTATGGCTGTGTAGTATTCCATAGTGTGTATGTGCCACATTTTCTTTGTCCAGTCTATCATTGATGGGCATTTGGGTTGGTTCCAGGTCTTTGCTGTTGTAAACAGTGCCACGATGAACATGCGTGAGCATGTGTCTTTATAATAGAATGATTTATAGTCTTTTGGGTATATACCTAATAATAGGATTGCTGGGTCAAATGGAATTTCTATTTCCAGATCCTTGAGGAATCGCCACACTGTCTTCCACAATGGTTGAACTAATTTACGCTCCCACCAACAGCATAAAAGTGATCCCACTTCTCCACATCCTCTCCAGCATCTGTTGTAATGATCGCCATTCTAACCGGTGTGAGATGGTATCTTAGTGTGATTTTGATTTGCATTTCTCTAATGACCAGTGATGATGAGCATTTTTTCATATGTTTGTTGGCTTCATATATGTCTTCTTTTGAAAGTGTCAGTTCATATCCTTCCCCACTTTTGGATGGGTTTGTTTTTTTCTTATAAATCTGTTTCAGTTCTTTGTAGAGTCTGGATATTAGCCCTCTGTCAGATGGGTAGATTGCAAAAATTTTTTTCCCGTTCTGTTGATTGCTAATTCACTCTAATGATTGTTTCTTTTGCTGTACAGAAGCTCTGAAGTTTAATTAGATCCCGTTTGTCTACTTTGGCTTTTGTTGCCATTGCTTTTGGTGTTTTAGTCATGAAGCCCTTGCTTGTACCTATGTCCTGAATGGTTTTGCCTAGGTTTTCTTCCAGGGTTTTTATGGTGTTAGGTCTTATGTTTAAGTCCTTAATCCATCTGGAGTTAATTTTAGTGTAAAGTGTCAGGAAGGGGTCCAGTTTCTGCTTTCTGTACATTGCTAGCCAATTTTCCCAACACCATTTATTAAACAGGGGATCCTTTCCCCATTGCTTGTTTTTGTCAGGTTTGTCACAGATCAGACGGTTGTAGATGTTTGGCGTTGCTCCAGACACCTCTGTTCTGTTCCATTGGTCTATGTCTCTGTTTTGGTAGCAGTACCATGCTGTTTTGATTACTATTGCCTTGTAGAATAGCTTGAAATCTGGCAGCGTGATGCCAACAGTTTTGTTCTTTTTGCCTAGGATTGTCTTGGCTATGCAGGCTCTTTTTCACTTCCATATGAAGTTTTAGGTGTTTTTTTCCAGTTCTGTGAAGAAGGTCATTGGTAGTTTGATGGGGATAGCATTAAATCTATAAATTACTTTGGGTAATATGGCCATTTTCACAATATTGATTCTTCCTAACCATGAGTATGGAATGTTTTTCTGTCTGTTTGTGTCTTCTCTTATTTCCTTGAGCAGTGGTTTGTAGTTCCCCTTGAAGAGGTCCTTTACCTCTTTTGTTAGTTGTGTTCATAGGTATTTTATTCTTCTTGTAGCAATTGTGAAAGGGAGTTCACTCTTGATTTGGCTCTCTGTTTGTCTGCTATTGGTATATAGGAAGGCTTGTGATTTCTGCACATTGATTTTGTATCCTGAGACTTTGCTGAACTTGCTTATCAGCTTAAGGAGAGTTTGGGCTGAGATGATATGGTCTTCTAAATATACAATCATGCTATCTGCAAGTAGAGACAATTTGACTTCTTCCTTTCGTAATTGAATACCCTTTATTTCTTTTTCTTGCCTCATTGCTCTGGCTAAAACTTCCAATACTATATTGAATAAGAGTGGAAAGAGAGGGCATCCTTGTCTACTCCCAGATTTCAAAAAGAATGCTTCCAGTTTTTGCCCATTCAGTATGATATTGGCTGTGGGTTTGTCATAAATAGCATTTATTATTTTGTGATAGGTTCCATCAATACCTAGTTTATTAAGAGTTGTTAGCAAAAAGGGCTGTTGAATTTTGTCAAAGGCCTTCTCTGCAACTATTGAGATAATCATGTGGTTTTTGTTTTTGGTTCTATTTATGTGGTGGATTACGTTTATGGACTTGCGTATGTTGAACCAGATTTGCATGTCTGGGATGAAGCCTACTTGTTCATGATGGATAAGCTTTTTGATGTGTTGTTGCAATTGGTTTGCCAGTATTTTACTGAAGATTTTTGCATCTATGTTCATCATGGATATTGGCCTGAAGTTTTCTTTTTCTGTTGAGTTTCTGCCAAGTTTTGGTATCATGATGATGTTGGTCTCATAAAATGAGTTTGGGAGGATTCCCTCTTTTTGGATTGTTTGGAATAGTTTCAGAATGATTGGTACCAGCTCTTCTTTGTATGTCTGATAGAATTTGGCTGTGAACCTATCTGGACCTGGGCTTTTTTTGGTTGGTAGGCTGTTAATTGCTGCTTCAGCTTCAGCCCTTGTTAATGGTCTATTCAGGGTTTCAACTTCTTCCTGGTTTAGTTTTGGTAGGGTGCAAGTGTCCATGAATTTATCCATTTCTCCCAGGTTTACTGGTGTAAGTGCATAGAATTGTTTGTAGTAATCTCTGATGGTAGTTTGTATTTTCCATGGGATTGGTGGTGATATCCCATTTATCATTTTTTATTGCATCTATTTGATTCTTCTCTCTTTTCTTTTTTATTAATCTGGCTAGCAAGTCTATTTTGTTGATCTTGTTGATCTTTTTGAAAAACCAGCTCCTGGATTTACTGATATTTTCAAGGGTTTTTTTTATGTCTTTATCTCATTCATTTCCTCTCTGATCTTAGTTATTTCTTGTCTTCTGCTAGCCTTTGAGGTTTTTTGATCTTGCTCCTTTAGGTCTTTCCACTGACGACAGGGTGTCAATTTTAGATCTTTCCTCATTTCTCATGTGGACATTTATTGCTATAAATTCCCCTCTAGACATTGCTTTAAATGTGTCACAGAGATTCTGGTATGTTGTGTCCTTGTTATTCTTGGTTTCGAAGAACATCTTATTTCTGCCTCCGGTTCATTGTTTATCCAGTCAACATTCAGCAGCCTGTTGTTCAGTTTCCATGAAGTTGTGTAGTTTTGAGTTCTCCTGAGATTTAATTTGATTATACTGTGGTCTGAGAGACTGTTTGCTATGATTCTGTGTTTTTGCATTTGCTGAGGAGTGATTTACTTCCAATTATGTGGTCAATTTTAGTGTTAGTGTTATGTGGTGCTGAGAAGAATGTATATTCTGTGGATTTGGGGTGGAGATTTCTGTTGATGTCTATTAGGTCCACTTGTTCCAGTTTTGCATTCAAGTCCTGTATATCCTTGTTGATTTTCTGTCTTGTTGACATGTCTAATGTTGACAGTGGAGTGTTAAGGTCTCCCACTATTATTGTGTGGGAGTCTAAGTCTCTTTGTAGGTTATTTAGAACTTGCTTTATGTATCTGGGCGCTCCTGTGTTGGGTGCATATATATTTAGGATAGTTAGCTCTTCTTGTTGTATTGATCCTTTTACCATTATGTAGTGTCCTTCTTTGTCTCTTCTGATCTTTCTGGATTTAAAGTAGATTTTATCCAAGACTAAAATTGCAACCCCTGCTTCTTTTTGTTCTGCATTTGCTTGGTATATCTTCTTCCATCCCTTTATTTTGAGTCTATGTGTGTCTTTGCATGTGAGATGGGTCTCCTGAATATAGCACACTGATGGGTTTTGACTTTTTACCCAGTTTGCCAGTTTGTGTCTTTTGATTGTGGCATTTAGGCCATTTACATTTAACATAAATATTGTGATGTGTGAATTTGACCCTGCCATTTTGTTACTGGTTGTTTGTTTTGCCTGTTGGTCGACACGATTTCCTCATTGCATCATTGGTCTTTACCGTTCAATTTGTTTTTGTAGTGGCTGGTACTGGACTTTTTTTCTGTGTTTAGTGCTTCCTTCAGGAGCTCTTGTAGGGCAGGTCTAGTGGCAATGAAATCTCTCAGTAATTGCTTGTCTGTAAAGGATTTTATTTCTTCTTCACTTATGAAGCTTAGTTTGGCTGGATATGAGATTCTAGGTTGAAAGTTCTTTTCTTTAAGGATGTTGAATATTGGTCCCCACTGTCTTCTGGCTTGTAGGGTTTCTGCCGAGAGATCCACTGTGAGTCTGATGTGCTTGCCTTTGTGGGTAACCCAACCTTTCTCTCTGGCTGCCCATAGCAATTTTTCCTTCATTTCAACCCTGGTGAATCTGACGATTATGTGCCTTGGGGTTGCTCTTCTTAAGGAGTATCTTTGAGGTGTTCTCTGTATTTCCTGGACTTGAATGTTGGCCTGCCTTGCTAGGTTGGGGAAGTTCTCCTGGATAATATCCTGAAGAGTGTTTTCCAGCTTGGATTCATTCTCTCCATCACATTCCGGTACACCTATCAAACATAGATTAGGTCTTTTCACATAATCCCATATTTTTTGGTGGCTTTGTTCCTTTCTTTTTACTCTTTTGTCTCTAACCTTGCCTTCTCATTTTATTTCATTGAGTTGTTCTTCAATCTCTGATATCCTTTCTTCTGCTTGGTCAATTGGGCTATTGAAACTTGTGTATGCTTTGCAAAGTTCTGGTGCTCTGCTTTTCAGGTCCATCAAGCCGTTTATGTTATTTTCCAGGCTGGTTATTCTATTTAGCATTTCCTCTAATCCTTTTTCAAGGTTCTTCGTTTCTTTGCATTGGGCTAAAACATGGTTTTTTTTTTTAGCTCAGAGAAGGTTATTATTACCCATCTTCTGAAGACTGCTTCTGTCAGCTCGTCAAAATTGTTTTCTGACCTGCTTTGTTGCCATGCTGGTGAGTTGTTGTGATCTCTCTGAGTAGGAGAGGCATTCTGGACTTTGATGTTTTCATCCTTTCTTCGCTGGTTTCTTCCTATCTTGTCTGAGTAGACGTCCTTTCTGTTAAAACTGGGGTTATTTCTCCTGTATGAGTTTTTTGTTTGTTTGTTTGTGTTTTTTTTAACGCAAGTGTCAGTGTGCCACTTGAGACGGCCTGTCTGTTGTCTGCCTGTGGAGGCGTGCTGGGCTGCCTCGGTCTCAGCCCAGGCTGTTATTTATTCTTCACCTGGTTTCGGTACTGCATGGGTTAGCCTCACGTTCCCAATGGTGGGCTCTTTCGCTCTGCCGAGCCCACTGTTCCCAGGTGGAGGATGTGTTAACTGTGAAACTCTCCCGGGAGAGGGACTCTGGTTGCTGGATCTTGCAGGGGAAGGGCCTGTCTGGTTGCATCCCCCTCCCGCTTTCCACTCTCCCTGCTATGGGATGGGCAGTTCCTTTTCGCAAGCTTTCTCTGTATTAGTCCAAATCTCCGCCCCGGTCTGCTCTAACAAGGCACCGGTCTGTCCGGCGCTGCCGCCCTGGGCTGTCACCCGACTCTGTGACCCTGGGTGGTTCTCAGCCAGGCAGCATTTCCCTGGTCTGTGTGCTGCCGAAGTCTCGAAGTGAAATTGCTATATCTGATTCAGAGAATCCAGGAGGTGATGCCCCCCTAATCCTCTGTGCCTGATACACTTTCCAGGTGGGGTAGTGCCCCACCTTGCCTCTGCTGGACGCCTTTGGCTACTTTCGCTGCCTTTTTGGGGGGGTTAATCCCATTGTTCAACCAGTCCTTTTAAAACAAAATCAGTACCTTGCTCAGAGACGTGGATATCACTCCGGTTCAGTCTCATTCAGTGGTAGCTTCCTTTTGGCCATCTTCCCCTAAATCCAAAATAAATCAACTTTTTAAATAAATTTCGGGAGGACATCAAATTTCCAAAAAAGATAAATTTGATTTAGTCAAATATTTAAAATTTAGTTATTTTCAAAGTGAATTTCTCATGTGACTAGATCAAGTATTGGATATGGA